AATATTTTAGCAGTCATCGCTATTGGGAGTGCAAGATCCAAACAATGCTTTCTCTCGTTCGGGACCCCTTTGACATCACAAAGCATAAATGGTTTTGGCCACTTATGGAACATTTCCTGAACCTTGAATCTGCACATAAACCCAAGTACCTCCTAAGTGCCTATTGTCATCATTGTAATGTGTTCTATCCTCATTACAACATGATCCATGGAAGTCATACACTTTGCACAGTCAATGCGACTCTCTCTACAGTGAATGCCCTACAGGGTAGTATATAACTTAACATGGAACAATAAGTATTGCAAAGTTCAAGAGCATTATAACAGAGGCACAATTAAGTAACCATTTAATAATGCTAACACATTTTTGACATGAGGTTTGATGGCTTACATTAATTTTAAATTACTGTCTGATAACTAGCATAATAAAATAAAATAATGAGCATCAAGTGTTATTTATGTTGAATCTAAATAACTATTGACATGGGAAGGAACAGTTTGTATTGGCAAAACATTTTGATTAATCTGCTGTGACATAGCATATCAAAATGGCCCATAAGTTGCAGTTCAATGCAAAATATTTCTGAACTGTACGTTTGGGTAGTGACCTTTATATTGCAGTTAGAACATGTACTGTATTTACTGTATAAGTAGTGTGAGCAGACAATACAATGTTTTACTGACTCATTAGCAACACACACCATGCAAGCTAAGGATCTTGTGTTTATGTACAGTTATGTACTTGTGTAGAGTATTGACTGTTAGTTCTGATTACCAGCAAAACATCTGAACTTCTGTTTCTGTTTTTCTACCCTTAATCACACACTTGCGTCTTCTTCCTTGAATCCCTTTCCTGCTGACTGAGGTTTGGTCCCACGGTGTCAGCCAAAAACGGGAGCATTGGAACAAGAATAGACTTGGTCTTACATTCAACTAGATCAAGGCTGACCTGTGACCAAACTCTACATGCATACTTGTACTCCAAATACTTTATTACCTTAATACCTTAGGTTGACAAAAATCTACCAATCACAGATTTAAAATTAACAATGGCTCAATTGCTGTAGAAGGGTATTCCAGATCTTTGTATTAAACTGTTTCTTAATTTCACCCAAGCCTTAAATTTTAGACCACACCAAAGTTCTAGTCCTAGACACCAAATAGAATCTATAAACCCAATGTGTTTCCCTTAATATCTGGAAAATTTCACTCCAATAACCCCTTGACCTTTGAAATTCTCAGTAATATAACCTGAGTTTGTGAAATCACTCCTCATCATTTATCTCTCGATGTTCACATGTCATTCTAGTAAATCTACAGTGTGCTCCCTCCTAAACGTTTCAGTATAAATTACAATGTAAGATACGGCAATCAGCCCAAGTTTCCAATTGACAGATCTCAGTGGGACTATCACAGTTGTGCTTTCCACATGACTTATTCTTGGCCTCAATGGAGTGTGCTAATTAACCAATCATGAGCAGTCTGCAATGGAAGGCCTTTATAGAAAAGAAAACTTGGTCTGTAGATGAGGTAGTACAGACAACCTTTACACCTTTTGTATTCAATTCCCTTAGATATAAAGGCTAGAATTCCACAAGCCTTTTTGATTACTTTTGATTACTTGTTCATGACATTTTAACAATGATTTTTGCTTTTAAACACAAAATTATCTTTGAAACTTTACTGATTCTAGTTTTTCATTATTTTGAGTGGACCTTGTTTTATCCATTTATCGTCGAAAGCGAATGACGTTACAATGCTCCAACTGAATTCCATTTGCTTTGTTTCTGTGTTCACTTAACCTACCAATATTTCTGACAACCAGTGAGGGCTATGGACCTGCAGGGATCTTGATCTGGTCTTATTTGGTATTGCACTCACACAAATATCCAGTCAGGAGATTTTGACTAGCAGAAGGAAACCCGTTGGTTTTTCCTCCTAACAATGAGGTCAGTTGTTGCACCACTGTTCTGGCTGATATCAATCAACACTGTGAAGACCAAAGATCAAAACTTGAAACTTACTACTCTGTATGTGCTGCTATTCATTAAGTTAATCAGGAAATATCCGCATCGCTCGATAATCATGAGATTTTTAATTATGTTTTATTCAACTTGAAACCTGAAGGGTTTCAAAAATGTGTTTGACATTGGTTATTGTCAAACTACAGCCAATGCAAGGGATGTTGTTGAGCAGTGCTATCTCCTCCAATTAGTCCCGTGAAAATGCGACACTGCTAATCTCTCACCACTCAACATGAACATTCCCTGGCACCAATACAAATGTGCAATATAGATGCCCCATTCAAATCATCTGGAATTATAGCCAAAAAGGAATTCACTTTAATTTATGTAAATGGCTTCCCTGTGGAATTGAATTCAAAATTGCAATTTATTAGACTGCATTCACATTCTCACTGCAGTATTTTTTATTAGCTATCGTAGGCAATAGTCCAGAGGTATTATCACTTGACTATTAATCCAGATACCCAGCTAATGGTCTGGGGACCTGGGTTCGAATCCTGCCATGGCAGGTAGTAGAATTTGAATTCAATAATAATTGGAAATAAGAGTCTAATGATGACCATGAAACCATTGTTGCTCTTCAGGAGGGGAAAAAAACCTATCTGGTTCACTGTGTCCTTTAGGGAAGAAAATCTTACCTGGTCTGGTCTACATGTGACTCCAGACCCATTGCAATGAGGTTGACTCTTAACTAGTATCTGGCCAGTTAGGGATGAGCAATAAATGCTGCTCTCGCTGGTGACACCCACATCACAGGAATGAATAAAACAAAATGTGTGTGATCAGTGAGCTCAACATTCACTACGGATGTACAAATGTCTTCAATATGAAATAATCACTGAATCATAGAACAGCACAGAAAGAGACCATTCAGACGATTGAGTCTGCATTGGGCTCTTTCAAACAGCATCCAAATATTGCACACCTTGGCTCTTTTCCCACATCCCTGCAAAATTTGGTCTTTCAAGTTGTTTTGTAATTCCACTTACAAGTAGCTATTCAACCTGCATCCATTCCTAAACCAGGCAGTGTATTCCAAATTCCAACTACTCATTTTATTGAAATTTTCTTTTTCTCCTGACATCTGATTCTTCTAGAAAAGACCTGTGGCATCTGCTTATCAATCTTTCAGCTCCTGGAAACACTTGCATTACTTTATTTACTGTATTGAAGTCCTTCATGATGTTAAACACTGATATTAAATCCCCTATTAGCCTTCTTGTCTCTGAAGAGAACAACATCAAGTTTCTCCATTCTATCTTCTACCCAAAAATGTATTCACACACAACTGAGCCATGTTCCCACCACCACTGACATTTTGTTTGCTTTTCTTTTAAACTACAATCCACCTCCAATAAAACACGAGTAGCCAATTCAATATTGACATGCAAAACCCATTATGGACAATGCAAACCATAAAGGTGATTGGGGGTATGGACAACAGCAAGGGACAAAATCAAAATGGAGTTGGAGGGGCAAAAGTTTCTCCATTAAATCCGTATAACTCTAATCCCTCTCAGCTGGAACTATTTTTGTTCATCCATTCTGAACCCTTTCTAAAGATTTTGCATCCTTCCTGAGTATGGGGTTGGAATTGGACAATATCCTCACTAGGGTGAAAGTAGTGTTTTATGTAGGTTCCCACAACATTCTGGCTTTGGTACAGTTGTACCTCTATTTATTAAAGTCCAAAAGCTTTACTAATTGCCTTGCTAACCTGTCCCATCACCTTCAAAGGAGCATAAACATCACCACCACCCCTCCATCTCTGTTCTTGCACTTCTTTAAAAGTGTACAGTTTAACCTGTCTTTCCATTTCCCTGTGCCAAATAGTAAAGATAGTGCATTCAAAATAAATGATACATTGGAGGTGACACTTTGCTATTACTCAGTAAAACTGATGAAAATGCGATAATAATATAAACAATGATAGTTATCACTGTTGTGCAGGCATTATAGAAGTTATTTGTTTTGTATTCATTGGTATAAGCCTATTCTCCCTACATTCCAGTCTGTGTTCACGGCATGTTCCTTTGAATTAGGCTGCCAATTGCATCGCCTTTAAATTTTACGTGAAGCAATATCTTGAGTTTAACAAAATGCAACACAAGGGGTATTGCTGCATGACTTTAAAAGTTCAATTAAGATTGACTTTACATTTAATGGAGAAATGTATTATTGGGAGTATAAAGTTACCATAGTCTGCTCTCTCATTAGAGAGGTGACTGGGAGTGTTTTAACCTGAAGGTCACCAGGACTCAGGCCAGAGGCAAGGTTGAGGAGAGCCCTGCATGGTTACCTCAGCTGGCGTGAGAAGTGAACCTGCACTGTTGGCATCACTCTGCATCACAAAACAGCTGTCCAGCCATCTGAACTAACTGACTCCCAAAGTATTGTGCAGAAGATCTGTTGCACAATGTCCCTCACTAATTGGACGCACAGATAACTGCAAAGTTGCTGGTTGAACGGACTCCAGTCGAACATACGGATTAATATTTGACTCTGGCGTTCCCAAGGCAACATCCGCAAACAATTGGAAATAGTTTCCCATTAATTCTTGCTGCCTGAACAAGTTATTTCAGGAGCCCTGGCTGAATATGTGATACGAGCGAGCCAGCTGATGCTGTTTACCATTTCACATCCGATTGGTGTCCCATAGCAATGAGGAAGAGACCCGAAGTATTTTTAGAAAAAGAAAATCTACGTTTGCACTCTGTCCTCTCCCCTGGAGGACTGGCCGAAATAGAATTGAACGCGGGCCGTTTACAACATTAGAAACCAAGTACTGGACCGCGAACAGCTTTTAACATCCTGATCCGGGTCAGGCCGTTCATCCGGTGGGATAGCCCCATTCCGAAGAACACGGACTGTCAATTTCACTCATTCCCTGACATTGCGCATGCATTGTTATACCCAGTTTAACAAGCAAGGCGAGGTTAGGGTACAGAGAAAGTAACAATCATTTCATCTACTCTACCTGCTTGTAATGGGAACGCGTTGTCCAAGAAGGGGGATTCAGCCAACACATAGCACAGAAAGAGCTGGAGGCCAACACTGAAGGCGATCGGGAACATCCCGGCTCGGCTACAATTCATACTTGACGCTGGAGTCGCTGTTGCCTTTTGGGGAAGAATGGCAAACATTTCCCATTAAGTCTGCTTACCGCACTCAGGCTATATTTAAACTGAAAGTCCACCAGCTGCTTTTACAACACAAGCCCCAGCGCGGACATTAGACACTAGCATCGCTCATTACTGCTCGAAGATGATGACTGGAGCCAATGATCAGACAGTGTAGACATTTAAACACAGACACACATTTTCACTGGACTCACTGACTGTGGTCGATTCTCACTTTGGATATTCCAGTCTCAAACTCCAAAAGCGCCTCTGAAAGTATTTTTTATTATTTTTCACTGTGCATTTCCAATTATATAATCTCCACACACACTGTCCTTCTTCATGAAGTATATACAGGGTATGCATTATTTTAGCATGATGTGCAGGTCCATCTGAGCGGACACTGACAATTATATGAGGGTTCACATCTTCAAAATGGAATGTGCAAATTTGAAACCAGATTTACCAAGATGTTGCCAGGTACAAAAGGGTTGAGTTATAAAGAAAGGCTGGATAGGCTGGGACTTTTTTCACTGGAGCACAGGAGGTTGACAGGTGACATTATAAAGGTTTATAAGATCATAAGGGGTGTAGATAGGATAACGGTAAGTGTCTTTTCCCTAGGATGGGGGATTTCAAGATTAGTGCCAGTTCTTCATGAATTGAAACTCCTTGTTCACACACCACACTTTCATTCTCACAACTGCTTCATGTGGATCCGGTAAACATCCAAACTTATTGTCTTTGTGGTTCTGCATTTTAGTTTGAATCCTAACTTCTTAAACTCATTCAGCAGAATATCATTGCTAGTTCTGCATGGATCCCAATAACTGGATCTTCCTTCTCTAACCCGAGTTCATCCATTGTCTTGAGGAGAGGTCTTAAATCCAAGCATGGGCAGACAACACAATCATTGGAACCTCCAGTCACAGCAGTAGAGAACAGAATCTATTTTCTGGACTATATTGTCCACTATAATTTATCACTTCATTTGAATGGCTTCCTGTATTATGGTGCTATTCACAGTTTTCCTCAATCCTAATAGAGGTATTGCTCTTATTAACCTTATATCTGATCCTGGCAAGTAATTACAACTTCAATAAAGATATAGTGGCTGTCACACCTGACACCAAGAAAAGACAGCACCCTAGTTCCAGTAAACATACCTCCCAGTGAGCTTAACCGCAAAATAAATGCCCCTATTGTTATTAACCCAGATAAGTGTATCACCCCTATTAATTGAAACCCTGCCAAAAAAAGTCCCATTAATGCTCATATGTGTACAGCTCTTGCCCCCTTAATCCTAAACTCATTAAATATGCCACTGCTGGTAATTCCTAACCAGGATAGAGATAACACTCATAATGATAAGGGAAACCATGGATCGTCCTTAAAACACATTTGGTTCACTAGTGTCTTTGCTGCCCTAATCTGGTCTGGCCTAATAGCACATTGAGCCCCATAGCAATGCAGTTGTCTCCGAATTGCCTTCAGAAATGTTATAGAAAGCTATTCAATTTTATTTAACACTACAGGGAGCAGGGTAGGTCTGGGTGGGATGACCTTTGCAGGGTTGATGTGGACTCGATGGGCTGAATGGCTTGCTTCCATACAGTAGGGATTCTATGATTCTATGAAAACTGTGCTGGCTGTTCTTGATTCATCCCTATCTCTCCAAATGCAGATTAATTCTATATCTCAGAATTGCTTCCAATACTTTCCCATAACCAAGGTTAGACTGACCACCCTATAGTTTCCTGGTTCAGCCTTTGCTCTTTTCTTGAATAACACTACCACATTGGCCATCCCCCAATCTTCTGACACCCCACGTGTTGCCAGAGATGAAGTGAAAATTTTTAGCAAGTATCCCAAATATTTTCTCCCTGGCCTCACTCAACAATCTGGCATCCAGCCCTGGAGATTTGTTTACTTTTAAGCCTGTCAGACCACACAGAACCACCTTTCTATCTGTGCAAATTTCTTTAATAATACAGCATCACATGCATTTTCCCTGATTTCTAAACCCATATCTCCTTTGTTTTTGAAAAAGAATGCCCTGTGTCTCAGAACAGTTACACAAATTTTAAAATTCATTTATGAGGTGTGAGTATCACTGGCAAGGCCAGCATTTGTTGCCTATCTCTAATTGGTCAGAGGGCAGTTAACAGTCAACCATATTGTCATGGGTCTGGAATCACATGTAGGCTAGACTGGGTAAGGATGGCAGCTTTCATTCCCTATAGGGCATTATTGAACCAGATTTATTTTTAGTGACCATTGACAGCAGTTACAAAGTTGCCATTAAACTAGTTTTATATTCCAGATTGTTATTGAATTCAAATATCACCATCTGGCATAGTGGGATTCAAACTCATGTCCCAAGAACATTAGCCTGCCCTTCTGGATTACTTGGTTAAGTGACTTTACCACTACGCCTCAGCCTCTCCAGCTGGTTGCTGGCTCAGGTTATCTGCACTTGCCTTCTGAGCACAAGTTCTGCTCAAGTTGATAATCCCTTCAGCATTACTATTATATGAAAATACAGCAATGCAATGCTTTGTTGCTCAGCACATAATGATAATGATTTTGGAAGTGAGTTATGTGCATTCTGCCGGACTGTTTGAGTTGGATAATGGGGTAATGATGTCATGTAGGTCTTCGCTAACTGTTTACCCAAATGGTAATCATCAGAACAGTATTGTCCAATTGGCATTCTTAATGTCGACTAAATGGGCAGGCCTTTATCCATGCCGGATTTCGCTTGAAAAAGAGTCTTGCTCTGGAAAATTTAGGAATTACTTCTTCCAGTGTCAGTATTTTGTGTGGCCACCTTCTAAGTGAAAGTTTGAAGTGCCTTCAATCTAGGTATACTCTCATGGTATCAAATTTCTTTCTTTAAAATACATTTGATGAAGATATACCAGTCTGTGTAGTGGTCGACTTTCTGAACTTTATTGTTTTGCTCCATCTCATTCCTTGGAGAATCAATAGATGAATCTGCATCATCCTTAAAATTGCCAATCTTGTCAACCCCATCTGGGTAGAGGTGATTTGATTATATCACACATGATCTACTTGCCAATGAGGTTTGAATGTCATGAATTGTGACTATCAAAATCTATACACATTGATATTCTTGCAACTGCTGAACCATTAGTATCTACCAGGTGGAAGATTCAGAGAAACTAAGGTGAGTTGTTGGCAATGCAGTGTGATTTTAGCAATGAATAGAATAGGCAAGCCATTATATATTGTGAGACAATTTATAGCGTGTAGTCATATAGCACAGAAACAGACCCTTTGGTCCAAACAATCCATGCGAAACATACTCTCAAACTAAACTAGCCCAACCTGCCTGCTCCTGGCCCATATCCCTCAAAGCCTTTCCTATTCATGTACATACCCAAATGTCTTTTAACATTTTAACAGTGCCTGCATCCACCACTTTCTCAGGAAGTTCATTCCATACATGAACCAGCCTCTGTGTAAAATATTTGCCACTCACATCTTTTTTAAATCTTTCTCCTCTCACCTTAAAATTATGCCCTCTAGCCTTGAAATCCCCCATCCTAGGGAAAAGACACCTACCATTAACCCTATCTATAAACCTCATGATTTTCTATCTTGTCACCTCTCAACCTCTGATGTTCCAGTGAAAAAAATGCCACAGTCTATCCAGCCTTTCTTTATAACTCAATCCTTCCATACCTGGCAACACCCTGGTAAATCTCTTCTAAACCTTCTCTACCTTTTCTGAAGAAGGGTCCAGACCCGAAACGTCAGCTTTCCTGCTCCTCTGATGCTGCTTGGCCTGCTGTGTTCATCCAGCTCTACACCTTGTTATCTAACGTAATAAAATCCTTCCTATAACGTTGTACAGTGCAGTCCTACTTGCTGTGCTGCGCATTGTTTGAGATGGGTAATAATAATTTGTTGGCATTAGCTCCTGCTTTAGCTTTATGTGTTTGTCATCCTGCCTTTTCAGGATATACGATACTAATGTTTGTAAATATTAGGTGACTAAATACAGTTGACATGGTGTGTGAGGTTAACAATATTGAAAGCTTGGTCATTTTCTGAAATTTGCCTTTTGATCGTCCCTGAACCTTTTTGATGCATTTGCATTTTTGCACCTTCTTAATGCTTTCTTTGGTGCCAGTGTTGTGGTATTGTAAGACCAAAAGGCCACAAGATATAGAAACAGGAGTAGGCTGTCCAGTCCTTCAAGCCTGCTCTGCCATTCAATAGGATCATGGCTGATATGACATTGCTCATGTTCACCTTCCTGCCCTTTCCTTGTATGCCTTGGATCCTCTATTGATCAAGAATCTATCAATCACAGCCGTAAATATACTAAAGGACTCTTCTGTCATAGCTGGCTGTGGCAAGGAGTTCCAAAGACGCACAACCCTCTGGGAGAGGAAACTCTTCCTCATGTCAGTCTTAATTTGGCACTCCTTTATTCCAAGACTATGCCCTCTGGTCCTAGACTCTCCTATGAGGGGAACATCCTCTCAGCATTTACCCTGTCACGCCCCTTAAGAATCCTATATGTTTCAATGAAATCGCCTCTCAGTCTTCTAAATTCCAGTGAATAAAGTCCCAGCCTTTGCTCATAAGACCAATCCCTCCATACCAGGGATCATCCTAATGAACCTTTTCAGAACTACCTCCAATGAAATGATATTTTTCCTTAAATAAGGGGACCAAGATTGCTCTCGGGCCTCCAGATGTGGTCTCACCATGATCTTGTAAAGTTGCAGTAAAATAAGTTCCCTACTCTTAGAGTCCAACCCCCATGAAATAAGGGCCAACATTCCTTTGGCCTTCCTGATTACCTACTGCACCTGTGTACTAGCTTTGTGTTTCATGTACAAGTACCCCCAAGTGTATTTGCATTGCAGCTTTCTGCAGGTTTTCTCTACTTAAAATAATAGCTCTTTGGTTCTCCCTTCCAAAATGAACAACTTCATGTTTTCCCACATACTCCACTCCGTATTTTTCCCACTTACTTAACCTACCAA